GCGTGCAAAATGCAGTCTGTCGCTTTCATGCAGAACTTCTGATATCTGTGCAGGAAACAGAGCTGCAGAGAATCACACGCTGAGAGGTTCAAATACTAATATAATTGTTTAAAAGATAAACGGCAGCAAGTCAAAAGTCTGTCCGGTTTTACTTTATTAACCTGTTTCCTTTTTTTGCACCTTCTTACTTTAACTTGTATAGATATTTGTATTCTATTTTAATTAATTGGACATTTTACTTTAACTAATATTCAAAAAAATATAACTTAATTGTATTTTTTTTATTGCAAATCTGGGTTTTTTTATGTTCTTTTTTTAATCTTTAATTTATTATATTTATATAAATATTTTAATTTTATTTGTATTGTATTGGACATCTGGAATTTAACTTTTTATGTTTATCTAAAAATATGTATTTTATTTTATTTTTGTATTAGACATATTAACTTTACCTTATGACATGGTTTAGTTGAATACTCGATTCTGATTGGTCAATTCAGAACACGTGACACGTTGTTAATCCAGTAGTACAGACCGTTGTTAAGGACGCTCACATCGGCAGAAAGAAGTCCGGTCGATTTAACTGTTTGCTTGTCTTTATAGTGTTCCGTTGTCTACCGTCTGAGAGCAACATGGAGGATTGTAATATTCATTTTAATATATTTGGAGAGCACAGTAATTTGGATGAATGGTTAGTGGCTGATGAGTGAAGAAAATAAAAAGACAAGAGGGACAAGAAAACAGCGGAGAAGTAAGAGAGGCGGAAAAGTATGTTTTTATACATATTTTCATTTTTTTTGACATTTCTTACTATATGGGACGTACTGAGGAGCACCTGAATCCACCACAACACCAGACCTTTTTGAATGGTACATCAACATTTGGTGATGTGTTTAGGGTCCTGGCTGCAGGCTGGGAGTGGGCAGCGTCCGGCAGGTTTGTCCATCAGACAGAAACAGGAGAGAGCTGCAGAAATATAATCGCCCTGAGAAACCCAACTAAAGACTTTCCCTCTGACATCATCTCCCACATGTTGAGGGAGATTTGCTGCTTTTATGTCATATTAATGTCAATATGTGGGGGTTTGATCAAAACAAGACATTCAGAGACATCACCTTGGACTTTGAGAAACTGGGATGGATGTTTTCTTTACTATTTGCTGACTTTTCAGACCTTTCTCACATCCTTCAGACATTTGTCATGAACATTTTCTGACATATCTTTTAGAAATGTTTTGATGAGACCCTCGGCAGAAAACACTATTATAAATTGTGTTTTTTAGCCTCTTAAATATGAAGATTTGCTGCTTTTCTCTGTTTTGAGTAAATATTTTGGGGTTTTGAACTGACAAAACAAGACGTTTACAGACACCAACGTGTAATATGAGAAACTGGGAGGGACATTTTTTTTATATTTTCTAACATTTTAGAGACCAAAAATCTCTTTAAAACCTCCTTACACTAGCTAAAAGGCTAAAGGCTAAAAAACACAATGCAGTGCAATAAAGCGCCTTGCATGGCGTGACATGGCACGATGTGAATAATGACAATCCCAGCAGGAGTTGTTGTTGAATCCTCCCCAACACAAAGCAGCGAGGGGATTAATCTCGCTTCACCCTAACGCTCCGTACGGATCAACACCGAGAGGTAATCTGGACACGCACTGCATCTGGATTAGGAATATCTGCAGAGCGAGATTACACAACGAGAGTGTGTTGTTCCCGAAGAGGAACAAAGAGATGTGAGGGTCCATCATAATGTGCATGGTCTGTCATCTCAAAGCATGACAGTGCAGCGGTGTGGTCCCGTAAATATAAATAATAATAATAATAATAAAGCTTTATTTATATAGCACTTTTCATTCAACACATGCGGCTCAAAGTGCTTTACAAAATGACACATCACAAATTCAAAATACACAACAAGAAATTCCACTCAGATTATTTGTTAAGAACTTTAAAAGGTACACGCAGCGAAATATAACATTTTAACAGGTTAATAGACACAAGGAGGTTAAATGTATGATAATACAAATAAAATAAATAATGCTTTCGCTCTGACAGATAAGACACAAGACAACTGAGTCGATGCAACAATATAAAATATAAAACCCCATAAAACAAAGTGAACATATAGGTACAACAGAAATAAATTTAAAAAAGATAATAGTAGTAAAAATGCCATAAATCTAATAAAGGTTAAACGATTAAGACGTAAAAAAGATTTAAGACCTATAAAATAAATAAAACAACATAAAGGTAGGTAAATAATAAAGACTAAATAATAATATGTGCTTAATGGTCGACAAGTCACCAAAGAGAATCTGGATTTAGAGCTATGGCTGTGCTAAATGTTTTTATCATGACTCTCACTGCCTGAACGTATCACAGGTCAGCACTGCAGGCTAAGATAACCAACTTGGCGATAGCTAGCTTAGAAGCTAAACTATGTCAGCTATAGGTAGATAGATAATAGCTTAAAATTCAAAGGTTATGTCAAATTAAATCTCTAACAAAGGTCTTATCTCATTACAGAATTTGAAAGTGTTTTTCAGTTTACATTTCCATTAAATAAATGACTGATATTTTGGGTTTGTATCTCAATTTATTGTTTATTTTAACCGTTAGCAGAGGAATGTATACGTCTGTAAAGCAGAACATTTCTACATCTATACGTATACGCAGACAAACAAATATACATATTTTTTAATTACAGGATGCACAGTTTACTGTTAACTCATATGTGTATACAACTGGTCACCACTGATGGCAAACATATGCAGAGAATTGGTTCCAAATGTATCAAAATAATATTAAACTCAAGTCTTAATCTGTGTCATATTCCGTTTTGAAGCACGATACTAGATTGTTCCATGAATACTCGGTACTTCAAAGCACTGTGATACTTAAAAACAAGAGAAATGGTATCTATGAATTCACCCTTTCTCCTGCTTGGTCCCAGACTGAGTGTCTCGATGTGGGTTAACGCTAACCAGGTGAATAATTCAGTAAGGTGCAGAGATGGAGGTCAGTGACACAGTTAAAGAAAGAGAGGACGATGGCTTTACACTACAAAAACTGGAAATCTTGCCAAGTATATGTGTCTAATATCTAGTCAGAATATGTCTTGACACTTGCTATAAGACATAATAAATTCAGAAGTAACACTGCAGTGAGATATCGGGTGTTGTTTTTAGACAATGCATCATCTTGTTAAGTCAAAAGATCCTTTTTTGAGTCGTATCTCAGATGAAACACATATTTTTTACGTATCTATTAGAAAATCACCAACTAACATCAGAAAACAGAAAACTTTTGAGCATTTGCTGCTTAGATTAACACAACATTTCCTGATTCTGGTCAAATATAGTTCAAAATGAGTTCTCCCAGCTAATTACAAGATCTGATTTATCTAAATATCCCTTCTTATTTCAATTCTCTTACCAAGCACATTTTCACTTGTTCTATTGGCAGATTTTTTTACTTATTTCAAGTGAAAACGGCTTGTTTTCATGATTGTTTAACTTGTTTTTGGAGGAGCATTTCTTCCAGTGTAGTCCGCTGCTGGGATGCAAATATTTGTATTTAAAACAGAAGATATGATCTGTTCTTCTGCAGGGCTGCAACTGATGGTTTATTTCACTAATGATTAATCTGCTGAAGTCAGAAAATGTACAGAAATGTCCAGGACTAGTTCCCAGAGCTCAAAGTGACGTCTTCAAATGTCTGAACAAGACTTAAAAACACAAAGATATCCAGCTTAGTAAAACACAAAGCAGAGAAAATCATCTTATCATCGCATCTCAAAATCACTCGATATAAGTTAAAATTGAGGAATATGGTTATCGGAATAGTAGTAAATAACCTCATGAGTGATATGGAGTCTGCTTTTCACTATAAAAAAGGTAGGTCCTATCTGTGATGTAATACATAATACATTTAATGTAAGGTAAAGGATGTCAGATTGTGCCTTTTTACTGGAGAGTTTGTGTGATCTAAATGCTGTGTTTAAGAGACATTTCCCCTTTAAGTTATGATGATTTATTCTCTATTGTCAGACTACCGAGGAGTCAATAGATGCAAACCGAGCATTTGGATCTTGACTTTTGAGACACTAACATAACGTTTAAATTCCTTCAGGCCAAGATTGAATCCATCCTGAATGTGGGGAAAGTGAAACTCCATCAGTGTTTCAAGAGCTTCAAGCAGCTTCTTTGCACAGAGGTTCATACAGAAAGGTTACAGCAGTTTAAATACGAGCTGTCATCTGAAGCGTATGGCAGCGGCTGCATGTGGTCAGTCTGTGAATCACTGGGGAGGAGAAGGGGGGAGAAGGGACTGAAACTACAAACTACATCACAGAGTGGAAACTTGGGATTGTTTGAGATGTTACATGTGGGAAAAATGTATTTAATTTTCCCATTTTCTGTGAATTTAAGCTACTAAAGCTGGAAAAACAGAAGTCAGCTGTAGAGTTTGCTTCTCAGACGCAAAAGTACTTTACATTTTAACAAGGTAAAAACAGCTCCAGGATGCTGATTGATTCAACATCATACCATTTAAATCACAGCGTACATTCTTGTTAAAGTTATATTAAGTGTGGCTGCAACGAGTGGTGGATGAAGTATTCACATCCTTCACTTAGTAAAAGTACTACAGCAATGCATAAATACTCTATATCAAGTAAAACTCTGCATGAAAAATCCTACTGAAGCAAAAAGTACATTATGTATTAGCAAAATATATTAACGTATTGACATTATTAACTGGTATTTTATTTTGTAAAGTCCACTATTGCATGTTTCACTGTTAAAAACATGCACAAATCCAATATAAGCTTCCTACTGACTTTATTATTATTTGTTATAAATACAATTGACCCTGTGTAATTTCCAGCAATGCATTTTCTGTTAGTCAATTAGTTCAATAATCAGTCGATTTGGACTCAATAATAAGTATTTTGGTTTATTTGTAATGCATAATTGTTATTTTCCAATCGTAAAGTGGTGCTTTTGCATTATTCTTGTGGAATAACTAGTTACAACATTTGTATTAAACGTCAGGGACAGCCCTGGTTCTCTGCTGCAGTAAATTAAAATGTTGAAAACATAAACAGTGAGAAGTAAATTCAGTGTGTTTGGCAGCTTTTACTCACTACTATTAATATTATTATCATTATTAGCCCCTGCATGCTCAGCCTCTTGGTAGATTAGTCAATATTGATGGTTTTGGGTTTAAGTCGGGTTTTAATTCATTTGTTATGCTTTTTCCACGCTGACTGAACGTATTACAAAGACACCTTTGAACACATCGCTGGTAAACAAAACATTTTGCATGAGTCTTTGTGTAGGATTTCATATAATAACAAAGGGTTTGTCTACTAGGAAGGTACAGCACTACTTATCGGCTCATTTTTGCTGCTGTGAAATAAAATACTAGTTTAAATAAATAAATATTGAGAAATAACTTCAGTGTGTTTTGCAGCAGCAGCTTCCCCCAGGCCTGATGCTGCCTTCAGTGCCCCATCAGAGCGACCTACAGCCGGGCAGTGATGGATACAGGATGCTCCTGCAGACTACTGACACTAGACACATTTCACCGACATCCAGCGCCTGAAATCACCCCCAAAGAGTCGCTTTCTGACGGTAAACAAACCCCCTAGTGTCCGATGGGACGAGCCTCGCTGCCGTGATTTCAGACGGAGCTACATCATCACGCAAGAAGACCCGTTTTATTCTAATGAGAATAATAAACAAAAAGCATGAAAAACGTGGAAAATTAAGAGTGTTATTACCGTGTTTCTCGGGTGTATTTCTGCGCTATCCGTGCAGGAACACAGCTCCGGTTCCTCTGGGCATTCTCCGGTGAAAGTGCAGAACAAACCACCCGGGCTGACAACAATAGCCTTCAATCCATATGTTACACACACACACACACACTCACACACACAGTCACTGTATAATAAGACAGAGAAAGCTCCAGATCCAGGACGCACTGAGCAGGCGCCGCAGCGTGGCACCAGTCAGCCGAATGAGAGCCGTGAAATCCGGCCTTAAAGAAACAGGAGCCCCGGGGGGAGGAGAACCAGCCCCCACCCCGACTCTCCTGCTGAAACACGGCCGCTCAGGGGCTCTGTTCTTCCGCCATCTTCCGCCATCTGCTGGAGAGACACTGGTAGTGAAGCTCCATACAGAAACTCTCCCCTCCAAACATCAGTCAGAATCAGAATCAGAATCAGGTTTATTACCAGGGCCCTTTCTCATTTCACTAATCTCGACTCCTCGAATCCTTGGTCCTCCGGTATTGACCCGGAAATGGATTTCAGCGCGCCATGTTGAAGGACATCTAATTTCTCTAAATGCACTTCGAGGACCAAGGATCGAGCATCGAGGAGTCTCTCTGGAGGAGCTATAATCGAGGATACACTGATGGTTCCTCCGCGCCAGTCTGCGGATCCTCCGCGGATGTATTTCCGGCAACAGAGATGTTTAAAAGAGTCTTGACGCACGGCCGGACTTATCGCAGCCAATGACAGCTCTGCATGCATCCCCTGGATATTATTGTATTAACTGCTTGAATCGAGACATGTTTACAGTGAGAACAGCTGTGAGGTCAGGTCCGTGCAGAAAGCAGAGCAGTGTGTATAATATATATCAGGCCTACATTACTCTCTTTATTTGTATGCTTTAGTTTAGTAGATATCTACAAACAAAGAGTCGATATTTTTCTAAAACCATTTAGTGCTTCACATAATAAAATACACAACGGCTGTATCCTGATATATATGATATGCTTTAGGAGCTGTAGGTGCGTGTGGTACAGTGTGTGTATGTGCAGGGGCCGGCCTTGGCATAGGCAGTATAGAGTGGCGAAGTCCCTCCCCTTCCGGTGGACCTCCATGGTACCTTATTTCGGAAAAATTATGTATTGAAGTCAATGGAGAAGAGAAAGATTATCTTTTGATCCCGTTTGAATTGTGCCACGAATTACACATATGATGTTTGTCAATTGTAAAGATAATTTTGCAAGTTAAAAAAAAAAAGTGTTGTAAAGCTGTGAAGTAACACATTTGTTTGTGTGAACGCTCAATGAACTACATCTCTGGTCTCGCAGACGCGCACAACAACACACTTCCCAAGATGGGGCCGTCACTACTGTCTTGTCAACAAAACGATTGACTACCCCTCACTATCAAGACAATGAAACACGTCCAGAAGAATGTCATGCAAAGCTGCCTGCCTGCCTTCCTTTGATTCTCTCTGAACTGCCTGGTTCTTTTTAATGTTTAATGTCAACATTTGTGCAGGATAGCATGAAGTGCAAAAGATTGCCGATGCTAGCGTTAGCATTTCCATTCCCCCGGTCTTAAAGTGTGTATTAGTAGAATGATCACACCGTGACAGTACTCTTCAAAGGGTTTCACGAAATATGACTACTACTCTTACTGTTTAACTTTTGGGTTACTTAATGTTACTTCATGTTAAGGCTAATAAAAATGACATGGCTGTAATGCTAACTAACGTGCTAGCTACTAGCTAGGTAGATAACTTGACCAGACACTCCTGGTCCTTTCATCAGACGGAGAAGCGAAAGAACGAGCAGACCCATTGCTGGTATGATAACAACCTGGTACTAAGCACACAGGCATCTTGTTAAAGTTATCTTATCTTAGCCAGCGCCATATAGATAGATTATATCTATATGGCGCTGATCTTAGCTATCTCTTAGTGGAGGAAAACAATTGTGACATCACTTACGCGACTCTGGAGATTTGTAGTCTTTCTAGTTGCGTATTTTTCATAGTCTTATATTTCAACAGTTTTACGACAACTGTGACTTTTTTGACATGGAAATTATTATTTAAGATTGACAAACATCATATGTGTAATTCATGGCACAAATTTCAAACGGGATCGAAAGATAAGTGTTCTCTCTCCATTGACTTCAATACATTATTTTTCCGAAATAAGGTCCCATGGGGCGGAAGTAGGATGGGCGTGACTCGCCACTCTATAGGCGAATGCTAAGGGCGCATCAACCCATCCGGGGCGCCGAAAATTGGGGGAGAAAAGAAAAAAAAAGTTAGAATTAAACATATTTTTATTCAAATTTCATAACAAACAATTTCCCGATTTTTGATCAACAAAGTACATCTTATTATCTTATACTAACAGAACTACGCCTATATTGGCGTACAGCGCCCATAAACTATGGTGCACCCCCCCCCCAAAAAAAATCAAGTTGAACTGCCCCAGCCCCAGTAAAAACAAGAGGTTTATGTGAAATAGTTCTTTTTTGAAATAATGATTTTAGTGTGCAATTATAGGTTTTAGTTTTGTATTTGTTACAAATACAAAAACGTATCAGCTTCTGTGTGCTTTTGTAACGTTGGAATTAAACTGTGTAGGCCCGTCCACCCACAGCGGCGTGCGTTGAAGCTTGCCGGCGGGCGTGTCCTGAAACTCGACTAACAACCGATCACATGAATCTCCCGCCCCTGACACACAAGCAGCGGTTTGATTGGCTAGAGCTTGTATACTGGCATATGATTGGGTGAACATTGCTCACTTTGCAACGAGCCACGCCAGCAAAGCTCCGCTTCGCTTCCCACAATGCAGTTCGGCGAAAAGTGACGTCACCCCATTCAAAAGTGAATGGTGAGCTTTCAACGCACGCCGCTGTGTGGACGGGCCGTAAGCAGCCGCGGGGGGGGGGGGGGGGGGGGGGGGGGGGGGGGGGGAGAGCTTTAGAGAGCTCTCTCCTGAAAGACTGAGAGTGCTCTGATAACCTCAGCTCAGTGAGGGGTAAGGCACACCTTTATATGATCAGGTATAAAATACTATATGACAGTTACAAAAAAGTTGTATTATAAACAAGAATACAGTTTAAAAGGGGAGTGATTTGTAAAATATCCATAAAGAAAAAGAAATCTGTTACAGTTCTGTTTCATATGGGTGTTGAGAGATGTATCCATAGATCTCTTCATTTTGCTCTCAAAGATTGATGCTTTTAACTTCAATATAAAAAATAATAATCTTCCCGGGGGAGCATGCCCCCGGACCCCCCTAGAGGATGTTAGGTCCCCACTCCCCACTTAAATCACGCTCACATGGATAGGATACTAAATAACATTTGGCACACATCTTGTGTCCATATCGTTCTGTTTTGTGGTCATGCCCAAACCGTGCACGTGCATGCATGCGCTGAGTCATAGTGAGTGTCTGCATTTTGGGGGGGGGGGTTGGGGGCGCCAGCTAAAATCTGCCTATGGCAGCAAATTGGTCAGGGCCGGTATGTGTGTGCGTATGCAGGCGGAAGACAGGTCTCATTTGGTTTGGTGTTCTCGCTTACTTTTAATACTTGTAAATAAAACTTTTGGCCTGTAATTTATTTTCTTCATTGTAGCGACCAGAGAGGGGAGAGGATATATCCAGTCTCTGATAGTGGTTACATTATTATGAGAGTGCTCTCATACTTGAATCTGAAATTGTATATATTACATTACATGTTACTTGTTAGACGGTTTTTATCCAAAGCGACTTACATACGCAATACTGTGGGCAATCCCCACAGAAGCAATTTGGGGTGAAGTGTCCTCAGGGACACAACGACATGCTGACTGCAGTGGGGGTTTGAACCTGTGGACCCCCTGATCCGAACACGAATGCTCTATCCACTGTGCCACAACGCTCCCGCATATATGTGTGTGTAGGCTATCTAGGTCTGCATCTGTAGCCTGTTATTGTCTCATTATACCGCACTGTGAATGAATTCCAAAGTAAATATATAAGTCGTCATGAACACATCTGTCCATCATACAGAGTGCTGCTGTGCCTCCTGTCATCATTAATGACGTCTCTTTAAAATGACAGCTCAGAGGAGAGGAGTTCTCATTTCTCTAAACGCCTGCTGCTTCCCCTCCTCTCTCCTCGGCTCCCCTCCTCGGCTCCTCCGCTCGCATCTCCTGTGGGCTGGGACTAAGACACGAGGATAGGAGGAGGATGGGAATTAGAGAAATGAGAAAGGGCCCAGGTTGGTTGACATGTAGGAGAATTTGACTTGTTGTCGTGGTGCATACATAAAAGTAAAACAAAAATTTAAAAACACAGATAGAGAACTATTTTAAGAACACTATACACATAAACAAAATAAATAAAAAATATAGTAAAATAAAAGAGACACCGGTAGTATGTATTATTATGTGCAATTATTTGTATTTTTTTGTTTGGCCTTATGATGGCTAGAATTGGATGACCATTTTAGTTTTCTCTCTGACAGATAAGACACAAGACAACTGAGTCGATGCAACAATATACAATATAATATTACATATTTATGTATGTTTATGTATATTGTGTGTGTGAGGACCCCAGGAAGAATAGCCAATGCTCATGCTCGTGCTAAGGGGGATCCTAATAAAGAATAGGAATAAGTATTGAAGCTCCACACAGAAACTCAACCCTCCAAACCTGAAAAACTTTATATTCCCTGTCGAAATTAATTGGTATATCATTTGGATCATAATAATTTAAAGTATGCAGCAGAGTGATGATGCACAAACCAACACACTTAGCTAATTCTGTTGTAAACAATGTAAATCCTCATAAACCAACAACATTGAACCCTTATTTAATTATGAAATTATCTAGAAGTGTTAGGCATTGTAGCCCATGTCTAACAATATCGTCTTTATTTACGTTTTTGAATTGTTCAGTAGTTTCTGAATTATTATCTCCTCTTAATGTTCATCGTATACACCTAAGTCCTTTTGAGTGAACAATCACTAGTTACATGTTCAAGTGTATAGTCATAAAGTGTATGGTCCCTTTTATAAATATAACCATATAATATCTATAATAGCAGAAAGAAAACATTGTACATTGTAGTTAGCAAACCTGTTAAGCACCAAGCCTGTTTTTCATGTTTCAGGCTCGAAAATGACATGCCCAAAACAAATGACTACAACTTAACTTCTAAAAGGGTTATATGAATAATTTCTTTTATCAAAGCAAGGTTACATCTGTGAGCTGGATGTAGAAGTGTCAGAATCAATATAGATGTTTTTTATTTTAAAGGAAATTCAGATTTTACATAGGTAAAAAACTGTAAATATAGTGTCCTCCAAATATTCTTTTTTACAGATAGAGAGAAAACTACCCTTGGATGATGGGTTAGTAGACTAAAAGCTTTAGGATCCAAAGTACAACATATAATAAGTACCCTGTATCAAGATTGATGCAAAACAAGTGACATTTTGAACCTTGTTTAGAGAGGTTTAGCCAAAACCACCCCACCTTTGAGGTGATTTGGTGAAAATTGTTTTTTTTCCATATCTCTGGCCCCCCGTGTCGATTTTGATGGGTTGACACCACCTCTTTCTGACCGTTAGAGCCAATAGAATCGAAGGGGGAGTCCCCCACACACACGTGAAGAGAAGAGGTGGAGGCTTCGCGCATGTAATTTTGCAGCAGAGTGGACCGATTCTCTCGCTCTGACATTTGGAAACGAAAAGCAGTTTTATATTGCTTATGGATTATCAGAAATCATTTCAAAGAGGACACAGACACATTAGATTAACCTATGGATTAACTGCAGCATCGTTTTTTTTATCGTTTTAATGCCATTGAAGACCAGTTTTGACCAAGGTAAGCCATGTTAGCGTTTCTAGCTACCTAGCTCCACATGTTATGATGTACGCTTTCGTTTATAGCGTCGCAAATGTTTATCACTGAGTAGTTGAGGTGGGCACCCCCAGATTCTGTGTCTCCAGGAGATGCAAAACGAGGGGTTGGCTGCGCATCTAGATAAGTAATATGGGAGTTAGGAGTGAGTTTAGGTGCAGAGATAGGTTACATTTTTTCGCTTGTGGCTAATTCAGAGGCTGAGTGTTAGCATTGTGGGAAAAAAAGCTGAGTTTCTTCCCGTTACACAGGGCTGCCAACACTCACGCATTGAGCGTGAGAGTCACGCAATTAACCCATATCTCACGCACTCACGCCACACTTGCTTTCCTCACGCTAAGTTTTCGTCCAAAATAAATGTATATAAAAATAAAGTGAAGGAACAGCAAACCGAGCGGTTCTACGAAAGGAGACGGTCTTCTGGCTTAGTTTCAGTAAAGTTGGAACGATATTGGGAGATTCTGATTTCACGGATCAATAACTCGTGAACAAAACGTTATTCAGACACAAATGACGTCTCCTAAGTAACCCGTGGTAAGGTTGACAACGAACTACAATCCTATTTTGATAAAAACAAGCCAATACGCGCCGTCCTCCGAGCTGGAGTGCTCAGGAACCGTCTGCAAAGTGCAACTCCGAAAAAGAGAATACAATAATATTCAATCACTATTATACAGCTTATTACTACCAAACTCACTACACAATCAATAGTCTCCTGGTGGTCATACTACAGCAGAGAGTTTTGAAGAATATGCTTTTGAATAATTTTGGGGAATATTTATAATGTAAATCTTCTTCCTGTCCGACTGAGAGAGATAACTACAGCTCAGTGAGGTAAGGGACTCTCTGTTTAGATAGTTCACTTTAGTCTAGTTATCTCAGTGGGTCTCAAACGGTTTGGTCACCATTTACGAGAATAAATGAAAAACAGTTATGAAATACTTTATGACAGTAAACAAGAATACAGTTTAAAAGGGGAGTGATTTGTAAAATATCCATAAATAAAAAAGAAAATCTGTTTTACAGTTCTGTTTCATATGGGTGTTGAGAGAGGTATCCATGAATTCATTTTGCTCTCAAAATGCAGCAGGTTGATGCATTTAACTTCAATATTTAAAAAAAAATTTCCCGGTGAGCATGCCCCCGGACCCCCCTAGGAGGTGAGGACCCCCCCCACTTATAAAATAGCACTTTACCTCTGCTTACACCTATATGCCATTTTATATGCTGTGAGCTGATTATCGAGCCTTCATTGTGAGTCGCAGGGTACACTGTGTATGTGCGTGTTCCACTGTAGCGCCCGGTACATTAATGGGAAACCCGTTTGTACTTGTTCAATAATTTGGTAACACTGTACACATGAACGTTCTTTTTTCGGTTAACCAAAAAAAAAATCTCACTCCAAGCTGAACTCAAATGTTGGCAGCCCTGCGTTACATGGATATATATCATAGTTTATTAAATATTAAGATTCCTTAGACGTTGTTTCCTGCAAATGACGCGTTTATCCGCCCGGTACCGGGGGGGGCGGTGCGTAACAGGTTTTAACTAGCTCGCTTAGTAGCTAATAAGGCTATAGGTGGATACCACTGATACCACTATGCATTCTTATCAAAAACAGATTTTACTATTACTCAATTGACCTGAATATAAATACAATGTTAAGTTGGATTGAAATTAAAGAAAGTATCTTATCAATTTGAAAGGGCATCCAAAATGAAACTAAAATATAACAATTGCAATTATTTCTAACCGACTGCAAGAATACATTTGAATCCTGAAAACATGTAAGATGTAATGTGTTTTGTGTCAATTTTATTGGGCATATAATAGGTGACAACATTTTCAATGCATTAACAAACAAAAAAGCATGATGACATAATCATAATTTATGATTGCAAAGCTCATAAGTGGTTAAAGAAGAATATATTGTTTCAGATTTAGTAACATTGTGAATTTAAGCTCCCCGTTGTAATCTACTTAAAAGCTTCATATGCATCTTAATCGTTCATGAGTGCAAAGAAATATTTATGTTATAAAATAATTCACAGGAAAGTGCAAAGAGGAGAGGTTAGGAAATGGTGCAAACTGCAGGACTTCACACATTTAACCGACATATTCACAGGTTTAACAAAGTTATTCAAAAATATTCCCTTTTTACCACAATAATTTCCCTGAATTTAGTATGTCAACTTTACTTGACAGGAATCTTTTCTAACGTTCAACATATGACTTGTGTATTGCCAAATAAAAAACAATCACTTTCTCGCCACTTTAAGGACCTAACACACAAAATGACGACATACGATTGTCCCTCACACATCCGGCTTCCCATTTTCTTTGATTGTACGATACACTGTTATTCACTATTAACCAACTCTCAGTTCTGTGTACAGTAACTTTACTCCAACTCAGTTTACACAAATAACAAAAAACACTTTCCCACCTCTAGTGGTCTGAAGCCAAATGGAAAGTAAAGGCATACAATGCAGGATTTCCCAAACAATACATATATTCCTAACAAAATACCTCTTAATCGTCACTTATGTCCTTCTAGAAGTGTGTCATGGATTCTTTATGCAGATAGCCGTTAGATATTCGTATTTTCCGCTTATTTTTCTGCATACTGGATGTTTTTGGCATCATTGGTTGGACATTTCAAGCCCTTTATCTGCATACACACAACATTTGGCAGCATCACCTCGAGGGGTTCAGTGGATGTGTATCTGTGCTTTAGAGAGTAACTGCTGCTAAATAAGTCATAACATAATGTTTTATTACTCTGATTCACACCTTTGTTCTTGCAAGCACCAACAGAAACGGATAAATCCCACATAGTATGCCTATTCCTTCAGGAAAAGGTATTTCAAATTCCACATCGAGGTCTTTTAAATATCTGGAAAGGCACAAAATGAAGTAATGTGTTTGTGAACCAACTCTTGTTAATTGTATGCAGTTCTGTAGATATTTACAAAAAGGTACGACTGTTTTTAATACTTCATAATACTTCAAAATTAAGCTTAGTAGATCTCAAACACATCTTTGCAACATTTACGGTGCGCTTTTAAACTCGCAGTCGGTTTTGTGTGAGATCCAAAGCAGTGATTTTAATAAAGTCCAGTGAAGAGGAGGAAGTGATGAAGGTCAGTGGTTGGTCAGTTGGTCCAGGCGTACGCAAAGAGACCGTTTTCCTCCCACAGCTGACAGCGAGCGGACGAGTAGCTCTGCACCGTGGACAGCTGGTCGGACAGGAGAGCAGTGGCTGCTGGGTATTCTGGCCACTCGTCCGCCATCTTACCTGCAGGACAGAAGAGGAGGGTT